AATTTTTTTCGATTCTTCTTCATATCTCTGCTTCTATTGGTTTGAATCTGTGAGTTTTGCAAAAGTAATAAGGGAGTGCTTACATGTTATAAGGAAGTTCAACTGCGATACCCAACTAATGGAAGTATCACTGATGGTATACTTTTACATATATTCGGATCACCACTCAAATCATTGTCAAGAAGTCTCTACAATGTTATATTATTCCTGGTTAACACCATCTTTTTCACCTTTTTCTTAAGGTTTTTTCTTGATTTGGCATTTGTCTCATAGAACTCCCATTTTTTACTTGCTTAACCCTTATTACAAGTGTTATATCAGGTGTGCACACCATAACCTATATTAATGATTCAATTGTTAACGTATAAGTAATTTTGGTCATATTTTTATCTTGTTAGTTTCAGTTTTTGAGAGTTTAAAGTGGCTTACTAAGGAAGTGTTTACATGTTTGTTGTAAACTTGTTCTTTTAACATAATAAACTCGTGCAACACTTTCACAATGTCAAGTAATCGGAAATAGCTTCAATGTACCACTTATTTGGTCTTGAGCATAGTGCTTAGATTCTTTGCAGTCCTCTATGCAAAACTACTTTCACAATCACTCTTTCAATTTATTGGTTTTACCAATGTTTATTCTCTTCAAAAAAGGATGTATATGATTTTGTTGCATCTCTATTGAATGATACAATTTGGATTTGGAAAAGGAGTATCTGTATTGAATGATACAATTTGGAACATTCTCGCATCTCTATGTCCCGATTTTGTTGGTTCAAATTGTTTTATGTTAATCGGGGATAGCTTCAATGTACCACTTATTTGGTCTTGAGCATAGTGTTTTGATTCCATCTATATTGAATGATACAATTCAGAACATTCTCTTCATCTCTATGTCCCAATTTTATTGGTTCAAATTGTTTTATGTATTTGGGCTTTCTCGTGTATAATGCATTACGGTGACGTTGTTTGTAATGCATTATTGTTCCATGGTCTTTCAATTAATGTTTACATTGCAATTCTTTTCGATGAGTTGCAATTGTAGTTTATGGTTGCTGAATGGATTTGCAAAAGAACATGAATGGCTCACATCTTTATGGTGGGCTGAATTTGTTGTTTACG